GGACCTTGGAGCTGAACCAGGGAGCCAGCAAAGTAAAGCAGACGTGTAAAACTATACCACATGCAGCTGCACAAAAGCACCCTCACCAGCAGCTGTGTTAAACTATTTATAAAGAGAGAATCGCAGAACCAGCTGAGAAATACAGGGCGTGCATATTTGTGGGAAAGATTTCTTTTTCACTCGTATTTTTCTGAGGGTGATTGCTATGCAGCAAGATTCATCTGATGGAAAAGAGGAGTAAATAATTCACCTGTGTATGTTTGAGGTCGACAGACTTGTAAAATCATTTTAAAAATAAAGCTAGACTTTATATAAGGTTTGTGGTTTTTCTCTTATTATAGTGTTTCACTTGAACACATTTTAAAATGCCATTTTGATTACAACATTTAGTGTTAATATCCAAGTCTATTATTCTTCTCATAAAATCTTTCTTTTTTTCTAATGTCTCCTCAATACTGTGCCAGACAAGTGGATATATTTCCTTCTGCCAGCAGGTTGTGGCAAGTAAAACCTGACTGGTGATAATGTCACTCCCTCAGTATTAAGGACTTAATGCTTGTTTGACCAGTGGAAAGTGAGGCCAGCCTTGATCAAGGTGTTATGGTTCCCAGCTGTGAGGCACATTCAGGGTAGACCAGAACACTGCATTAACCTGCTTTAATGACAGATTCAAAGAAGTAAGTTAATAAAACTTAATACTTAAATGGCACCTTTCACCTCCAGTGTGAGCACATTTTATGATGAAACATTGGACTGGAAAAAGGTACATTTTAAGTGAAATTTCCCTGTGTGTGAAATGTAGACTCTGATGTAGTTTTCTGTAGAAACTTCAAAGGCTTTTATTATGCCCAGGGTTTTGCTAAGTGCTTGGATGTGGGATAGGGTGGATATTTGCAGTACCCCAGCCTTTTCAGTCTACTGGATAGACCACGGGGTGTGGGACATAGTTTCTCAAGGAAATTAAGGGATTTCCTATCAGATCTCCTTTACAACAGATGTTAGTTTTATGGGTAGAAGTCTAGATGAAATAAGACGTGTGGTTACATTAAAGTGGAATATCCACATGTAACAACGCCACCTTATTTTAGTAAGCAGGTATTAATTTCAGAGTCCATCTTCATCTTTACAGAACATACAAGTTTTCTCGTTTATCAAATGATTGAGACATCAAATGATTGAGCAGGCCAAGATCATGTATACACATTACTAAAAAAGGCAGAATTAGACCACTTGTCTGTCTGTTTTAAATCCAAGTCCAGTTTTAGCTATACTCTCATATACCTTGTATTAGGCATTCTCCAGTTGAAGATTAGTTTTTGCCTTTTAAAGATTATTATATGAAAGAGTTATGGAGAAAGGAGAGACAGAGATCTTCTATCCCCTGGTCCACTCCCCAGATGGTCACAATGGCCAGGGCTGGGCCAGGAAACAGTTTGTTCTTAACACCTATACAGTGTATTTAGAGAGAATGAACTAATTAATAAAACATTTCAAAGTTTTCCAGCCTACCTGTCATGGAAACTGCATATACCTAGTTTGGCAAATAAATTCCAAAGGCTTTATATTGTATACGGCACAATTTGCTCGGTAGGCCATATTTAGAAGTTGACTGACCGCTGGCACTGTGGTATGGTGGATAAAGCAGCCGCCTGTGGCACCAGCATCCCATAAGCGTGCTGGTTCAAGTCCTGGCTGCTCCACTTCTGTCTGACCCAGCATCCCTGCTGGTGGGCCTGGGAAAACAACAGAAAATGGCCCATGTGCGTAGGCTCCTCCACTCACGTGGGAGACCCATGGATCAGCCTGGCTCCGGCTGTTGCAGCCATTTGGGAAGCAAACCAGCAGATGGAAAATCTTGTTCTGTCTCTTTCTCTCTCTCTCTTTCTCTCTTTGCCTTTCAAATAAATAAATCTCTTAAAAAAGTTAAATGACCCCTATTACATCAAAAGGAATGGTGGAAAGCTAACCGTTATAATGACAATTCACTGAATTCACCAAACGAGAATATTCTGAATCGTGCTATCCTCCACCCTCCCAGGAACTTCCTTGCTTAGAAACAAAGACTGAACAAGTTCTTCATCTACATGAACTAACATTTCACAGCACTGGCACAGAAGCAATAGTTAACAACTACTGTGCTGCCTGTGAGCCCAGCCCTGTGCTTCAAGCTCTGTTATCTAACTTGTGTAATAGTGCTACTATTATTTTCCCCATTTTAATAGATGGGGAAGTAAAAGTTAAGTAACTTGCCAAGAGTCAGTACAACTTAAAAATAGTGTGCTGGGACTCGAATCCAAGTGGTCAGGCTCCAGAGCTCATGCCGTAGAGACGACTGTCAAACTGCCAAACCTACAAACAACAGCTGTGCTACAACCAGGTCTGGGGAATCAAACTTCCTAAGACTTCCAGGAAGTTCTACAGATCAAGTACCTAAATCTTTCAGGGGGCAAAAATGACATCAACTAAATGATCTTGTCGATGTCCTGAGAGAAGTTGAGAAATTCATTGCTAGAAAATTATTTGACTAAGAACTACACTCTTTTAAGCAGACATTAATGGTATGGATACATTTACATGACAATTAGGTGCAGTATTGCCTAGTATTCCTTTAACTCAGTAAGTATTTCATCTTCGTTTCTCTTAGAAGCTGTCTTTAGGCCCTCAGTGAGGTTTCTGGCTGCCATTTCCTAGTGAATTCATTAAGTGTTCATTTACTAGGGATCTCATCTAAGTTTAGGGTGAGCATAGATTTAAAAAAAAATGAAGTAAACACACTTCACTTACTGATTCATTCACCCTGAAGGAAAAGTGGGGAGGAGGTTAAAATGTTAATAGAAGCATTTGAGCATTCTATTTTACAATTATATAGTGCATATTTTGTCTAAGGGGTGCCTACACGGAGGCAAGAGTGTGTGAAGATTGTTTGTCCACGTACGTCATAACCAGACACGTCAGTGTACAGTACTTGAGTTTCAGAACGATTTGAATATAAATACCTTTAGACGAAGGATGAGAACTCCAGTTCATTACTTCTCTACACTTCTGTTTATTGTCTTCAGTCATTTACATTAAAGGCATTTGAGGTTGTCATGAATGATCTGGATCAGAGGGCCTCACACTTTTTCTTGGAGCCAGATAGTAAATATTTTAGGCTCCATAGGCTAAGAGGCAAAATCAAGGAAATTATGTGGGTCCTTACATGAGATAAAACAAGTTGTCGTAATTTTTTTTGACAAAATTCAGTAAATTTAATAAAATACAATTTTAAGGAGAGGATAGCATTGCCTTGAATGGGGGTGGCAGCATTGTGACACAGTGGGTCAAGCCACTCTTGCAGTGCCAGCATCCCGTCACAGTGCCACTTCCAGCCTTGGCTGCTCTGATTCCAGTCCACCTTCCTGCTAACGTGCCTGGGAAGGCAGCCACAGACGGCCAGGTGTTTAGGCCCCAGCTACCCATGGTGGAGTTGTGACTCCTGGCCTCAGCTTGGCCCAGTCCTAGATTTTGTGGGCATCTGGGGAGTGAACCAGTGGATGGAAGATCTGCCTCTCCTCTCTGATGCTCTGCCTTTCAAATAAATACATTAAAAAAAAAAAAAAAAACTTTAGCTAGCTAAATAAGTGTTCCCTATCATCAAAATGAATTATAAATTGGGGGCCAGCACTGTGGCATAGCAGGTAAAGCTGCCACCTCAGTGCTGGCATCCCATATGGGTCCCGGCTGCTCCACTTCTGAGCCAGCTCTCTGCTATGGTCTGGGGAGGCAGTAGAGGATGGCCCAACTCCTTGGGAGACCTGGAAGAAGCTCCTGGCTCCTGGTTTTGGACTGGCACAGCTCTGGCCATTGCAAGCCATCTGGTGAGTGAACCAGCGGATGGAAGACTCTCTCTGCTTCAAATATTTTTTAAAAATGAATTATAAATTATGTTAATGGTTATCTGTAATGAGATTTTACATATTTCAACTTAAAATGTCTTTCCACACAGATAGATACTCAAATAATAGTTTCAATCCAGAAGCATCCGAGATGTATTAAATGAGCATTTTCATCATTTGGAAAGCATTTGTAAATGTCCATTCAATTCTTTTTTTTTTTTTTTTTTTTTTGAGAGTGGACAGTGAGAGAGAGAGACAGAGAGAAAGGTCTTCCTTTGCCGTTGGTTCGCCCTCCAATGGCCGCTGCACTGCGGCCAGCGTACTGCGCTGATCTGAAGCCAGGAGCCAGGTGCTTCTCCTGGTCTCCCGTGGGGTGCAGGGCCCAAGCACTTGGGCCATCCTCCACTGCACTCCTGGGCCACAGCAGAGAGCTGGCCTGGAAGAGGAGCAACTGGGACTAGAACCCAGCACCCATATGGGATGCCGGCGCCGCAGGTGGAGGATTTTATGAAAAAATGCTGCTGTGGCAGCTCCACTGTGGCGTCTCTGATTTTCCTGCAGCTGCTCGCCTGTGAGCTGGACATACTGGTGTGAGTGTTTTGTCCATCAAGGCCACTGTACAGTGTGTTCTTTTAGCCCCATTACAGATGTTTTGTAATCTAATTCAGTATCCAAAGGATTCACACCCCGCTGTGCCTTTAAAACACAAGATTCAAAACCCACTCTTCTTGTTGAGCCACGATGGGGATGTACCGGTGATATGAAAACTAACCCGTGTAGCATGGCTTTACACACAGCCCTCAAAAAGCTGCCGAGTCACCACCGTGCCAGTGACCTGCTGTGTGCCGGGTCACACCTAAGGTGTGCTGCAGCCACTCCACATGCTGCCTGTCATGAGGCAGATGTGAGCACAGGGGCATCGCAGCTCCCAATAAAACCTTATTTATGGGCGCAGGAACTAGAATATTGCATCATTTTAACATGTCACAAAACGGATTCTTTGGAATCTTTTTCAACCATTTAGAAATTGTAAGAATATTCTCAAATCACAAGCAACGCAAACACAGCTGATAGCCCAGAGATGGGCTGCCGGAGGTAGCTTCCCTACCTACAATGCAATAAAAATGGTAATTTCATTTTTTATTACGTTCACACTGAGAGTTAACAGGTGGTAGAAAAGTTATATACAATTTAGCTACACTCTTCAACTAAAGCTAACCAAGAAAGTCCTATCAGTGCCTTTTGAGTTAGCCTCCGACTATCCAACCTTCAAAACAATTTCCCCAGACTGACAAATAATTACATACAGTTACCTAATAAAAATGATAATGTAGCTCATGAAATTACAATTATGCATTATAATTTAGATATTAGATTTCATAGACTTGGTTAAATTTTAATTTGATAATCTTGTTTATAAGACAGGACAAAATATAAGGGTTAAATAGTAACATAAGTGAGTGTTTTATGAACTCCCACAAATCGAGTCTGGCTGTGTAAGCGTCTGGGAGAGCCGGACAGAGCGCTGCTAGCTAAGTGCTGCTCCTTCTGGAAAGGCTTCATCTGTCCTCCGCCGTTTGACAGGCGGGTCGTCCTGATTCTCTGTAACAAATCCAGAAAACTCGTTTTAGCTACGTAACAGCTGAAAATAGTTTTGAATAACAAATAATATAGGCATTTTTAAGAGTCTTTATCTGGCCAACTTAGATGTGAATTAACATTCCTATGGATTTAGTATTTTAATCAAATAGCATTTTATTAGAATAAACAGTTACGGTATTACAATGCATAAAACAGGAAGAAGCTAGTCACAACTGAACGGCAAGGGGTCTTGAACCAAAGTAACTGGAATTAGTTTATTCTCCGTGTTTCCAAATTTAATTATATGCATCTCCTGCCCTTCTCGCCCTGCTCCCCCCACTCCCCTCCCCGCAAGGAAAGCCGCACGAAGGCGCTTGCAGTTCACACCTACGCTCCCGCCGTCCCCACCTGGATTTGCGGCCCGGGGCCTGTAGAGCACGGCCGCGGGGAGCCGGAAGCTGATGCAGAGCATCTCCTTGTTGGGGGCCACGTTTCTCACCAGGTGAACCGAACTGGCCGCCTCCAGGGAGCTGCCCAGCGCCGCGGCCGCCCGCCGCCGCACGTCCTCCGCGGGGCGCGCCTCTCTGGAGAAGCTGTAACAGTGCACCACGGGAAGCAGCTCGCGGCTGCACGGCCGCCCGTCCAGCAGCAGCCGGAAGGCACTGAGGAACTCGATGGCCCTGGCCGGCAGATTCATGACGATGTGCACGGCGTGTTTCCTTTCCGTGGCCGGCTCCAGCTGCTGCATTAACTCCGCTCTGACCGGTCCTTGAAGGAAGTCTTTCCCATCCAGGTTGAAGATTTTCACCTTGTGGTCCACTTTATTTAATTTACAGTTGTGCAACAGCCATTTGTGGGATTCAGGATTGAGATCATTGGCAAACACGGTGCAGTTTTTCTTCGCCGCTGGAATGGCAAAGGGCCCAACTCCAGCAAAAACATCAAAGAGGACGTCCCCGGGGTGGAGGAGGTCTGTGATGCGGCTGTGCTCCGTGGAGAGCCGAGGGTTCCAGTAGACTTTTGAAAAATCAAATTCATAGGTGTAGTTGTTTTCTCGAACCTGAAAGAGGTAAAAGGCTTTTGGTTGTCCCTTTCGGTCCTAAATTTCAGCTGCCGCCACTGAATAAGTGTGCATGTGCACATGTGAGCACGCGCACACACACACACACACACACACACTCACACACCACAATCACATTCACCAAATCAAAGTGCACTTAAAAGCATCTTAACTGAACCCTGGTGTTTATGCTATTCCTAGGGTCAATTCATATCTTGCATTAATTTTTTTTTTTAGGAGAAAAGTCATTTCTTCAAAGCTACATAACTTCATCTCAGTCTTCAAGGGCCGTAAAGCAGTTTCCAAATCACTTGAGGAATTTTTCAGAAAGGCCAATTGACCGGCTAATTATACTTTCTTATGTCACCAGATGGGTAGGGAAGAACCTGTAATTTGAACCCCACCACACTTATCTTCAGGGCATGTAGCGAAGTCGCAGATGGTACACACACACAACAAACAAGCTTCCTTTCTCTGGTTTTCAGATAATAAAAAGGAGGCAGAAGAGATGTGTCACTGAATTTTGAGGTATTTTACTGTGTTTTTAGATAATTACTTGGACCTTTTGCAAATTTCATGTCTATAAATTAGAGCCAGTGTTTAGAATGAATCATTCCTATGTTTTCTTTCCTCTCCCACATTTGAGTTTTTATGGGTAAATGAAATATATACAAGGAAGCTTAAATCTTAAGCCAAACTCAGACTTTATACAGCATTTTTTTGGGTCTATCACAGACTTCTTAGAACATAGAAAATAAAACAAATATAGTCATGGAATCATCTGAAGCCCCACATGTTACAGACAAAGAATCAAAGGTCTGAAATTCCCCAAATTCTGTCTTCTTTCTAACTTCTTTACTAGGCCTGAATTCCAAATTCGTATATGCTTCTTCCCCCTCCCAATCACATAAGGTGCTTCTGGCCATTATTAAGGTTCCAGAGTTGGATATGTTTCTGCCAACCAAAAGTCTTTCCAGGTATAACTATTTTATAAGACTGTTTTACAACTTGCTTTTTTGTCACTTAACCTGTCATGAGGCAATTTAATATGGAGGAAAAAAATTTAATGATGGGCTATTGCATTGTATCACTATGCCAGAATTTAACCAGTTCTTCTGAAAAGGCTTTATCTGTTAATGTTATCCCATCATCAGTATATAGAAGTGCTCAATTTTTATCAATCCACAGTGTTGAGCAAGTATTTTTAATCTGTGTCATCCACTCTGTTCCTACACATTAGTCTGGACATACACGTTACCAGGAGATAATACAGTACTCTGTACCTTGGCCATCATGTTCTCCTCTCCTGACAGCACTTCCATTTGGAAATTTCTGTATGTATTGTCAATATTATTGATTTTATTTACTGCTGAAGTGATTCCTGGATTTTTGTCAATCATAACTTGGCCTAAAGGAAAAGATAAAAATTTCATAATAAATAATTGGTTGTAAAATAAAAGCTAAAACTGCAAATATGAAACAAATGAATTGTATTTCCTTTTGGATTATAGATAAAAAGCTGCATCTACTGTGTATAATATAGCACACAACTTTTAAAATTCAACATACTACTAACGTTCATGCCTGGCAGTCTCCAATACACACACAGAAATGTGTGGGTACCTTTTCTTAAATAAAAAAATTTTTTAAATATTTATTTTCATTTTATTTGAAAAACAGAGGGAGCAAGAGGAAGAGAGATCTTCCATCTGCTGGTTCTCCTCCCAGATACCCACAGCAAGCAAGGGCTGGGTCAGGCTAAGCCAGGAAGGAGCCCAGGCTCCATCCCAGTCTCCCACACGGGTGGCAGAGATGCAAGGTACTCGAGCCATCGTCTGCTGCCTCCCAAGGCAGGTGTGCACTAGCAGGAAGCTGCACGAGAAGTGGAGGAGCCAGGACTCTGACAGCGCACACTGGCATCTCAAGCAGTGCTCTTAACTACTGCACCACAACACCTGTCTCCAAAGAAAAAAATTTGAACTGCCCTTCCATATTTTTACTAAATCTTCTCAAGTGTATCAATATGACAAGGAAGCAAAAAGGAAGACCTTAGGGAATCTGGAAAGAATGGAAAGAAGAGAGCTCAAGCCCTGGCAACAAACGGTCTCAGAAAGCACTGGCAACAACACCCGCCTGTCCCCGCCGGCCGCAAAGCCAATGTTTGCTTTCCTGTGGGTTTGAAATGAATGTCTCCACGCTGGAAACACACGCCAGCAAAACAGTGTCTCCAGAAGAGACACGCAGGTTCCTGAGAGTCTTACCTAAATGTCCGTTTACTTAAATTGGTCTTTATGGCAAATACTTATCAGAGCAGAAAAGCGACAAAGAAAACAAACTACATCAGAAATGGCATACTGATGCCCTTTAATCAAAGTCTGTTTTTTGGTAAGACTTTTGATTCTTCTTTTTTTTTTTTTCACTTTATTTTCCTACTTCCTCCTTGCTTTTTAAACTTTTTTGCAATAACATATTTTAAATTTACTTTATAATCACAGGCTTAATGCTTGGACAAGCATCTTCCTGTTCAGCAGGAATACAGACAAGGGTTATAAACGACCATCAGATCACAGGATATCGATTTCACTCAATACAGTAAGTTTTTTTTTTTTTTTTTAAGTCTTCTACTTTCTTAAATAAAGGCCTCAGGTTTAAACCTGGGAAATGTAATTGGATACACATAAGATTATTTCTAAAAGACTAAGGAGCACTAAAAAACACAGTATGGTACCTGGGATATACAAGAGGCTTAATCAGTTGGCTGAATGAAGTATAAACAGCGTAGCACCTTCTTACTGAAACACACACAAACTGACAGTGTGGCCTAGCAGTTTAGACACCCACATCACACCATGTGGGTTTGATTCCAGGAGACCCTGGGAGGCAGTGATGATGGCTTAAATAATTGAGTGCCTGCTACCCACGTGAGAGCCTTGGATTAAGTTACATGGCTCCCTGCTTTGCCCCAGCTGGCGTCTTGAGTCCATCTGGGGAGCAAAGCAGCAGACAGGAGCCAATGTGCTCACATGTTACTCTCCGTGTGTCTCTCAAATGAATAAAAAGAAATTTTTAAAAAACCTAATACTAAACATAATCCTGACGGCCTATTCAGTCTTGGGTACCCAGGCCTCTGTTCATTGTAGCTGCCAAAGCCAACGATTCGAGTTTAATCTAGGCTTATGTCTGGAGAGAAATTTTAAAATGGTCAAAGAGGGCCTCAACTCGAGATCTAGTTTAAAATGACAATGATAAAATGTCCTACTTCTGCAATATGGCATTTAAAAATTAATCCTGGGGCCGGCGCTGTGGCACAGTGAGTTAACGCCCTGGCCTGAAGCACTGGCATCCCATATGGGCCCCAGTTCTAGTCCCAGCTGCTCCTCTTCCATTCCAGCTCTCTGTTATGGCCTGGGATAGCAGTAGAAGATGGCCCAAGTCCTTGGGCCCCTGTACTTGCGTGGGAGACCTAGAAGAAGCTCCTGGCTTAGGCCCAGTCATTGCGGCCATCTGGGGAGTGAACCAGCGGATGGAAGACTGACTCATTCTCTCTCTCTCTCTCTCTCTCTCTCTCTCTCTCTCTGTATAACTCTGTCAAATAAATAAATAAATCTTTAAAAAAACAATCCTAAGAACTAAAATCGGGATTTGCTAACAGCATCCCAATACGTGAATTATCACCGTAACACACCTACCGATTAAATGCTTGAAGGGCAGCTGATGGTCGCGGAGGTTCAGGTGGGCGATGTGTCCCACTCTGCTGAAGCTGGAAGTCACATCCTGACCCTCGGGAAGCACGGCTCTCAAGATTTCTTCCGACTTAAAGTTTTCGTAAGTGAGTTCCAAATTATACTCCGCTATCTGAGGATGGACGTTTAGCTGCTTCAAAACACTGAGTTCTGCCTTCTCAAAGGAGTCGTGGCCAAGCACCTTGCGAGGATCCAGCAGGACCAACCTACTCTCGCCATCTGCTGGGTCCTCGATCACCCGCTTGACGCCTGGCCGCTGCAGTGCGACCCTCTTCAGGGCTCTCATCAATCTGTTGACTATTTCTTTCTTCACCTTAAGCACTGGTACAGCGACTGTCTTTTTAAAGGCTGACCTGTCAAGGTTTGTCATTCCTCGAACCTCAGGCGGTGGAGCAAACAATTCGGAGTCTTTCTCGGTGGTTTCCATCTCTGGCATGGTGCAGAACCGTTGTCTCGGATCCGACAAGACAATGCCAGGCGCTTCTCTAAGCTGCTGTGGCCATGACGTCCCAGCAAGCCAACCCAGCGACTCGGATCCAGTTAGCTTACGGCTTTCCGCTTTGAGAAGTCTCCCTGAGAATCCAAACCGCCTCAAAAAGACCCTTTAAAAAAAAAAAAAAGCGTTAACTTAAAAGACACCACAAAGCTACGAACACACACACACACACACACACACACACGATGGCTTTTGAGAATGAGAACCTAACTTGTGTTGGACACAGCCTGCGGAGTGCTGATGTGGACCACTGTCTTCCTGTCGTCTTTCCAGGAAAGGGTGATGTTTACGGTACACAACAAACTTGCATCTTCAACCCAGACAGGGCTTGGGGACATCAGCCCCGCTCTACTCCACGGACCTCTCCATCAGTTCTCTACACAATACATCTGGAATCGGAGGGCTGTGACTGGGGCCCAAGGGGCCATCTCCTAACGAAGTGGTCCCAGTATATGAAGACACCAGTGGCCATCTTTACTAGGACACTCTTCCAGGTGCTTACAGTATCACATGTTGTAAACACTGTGTCAGCCTTGGGCGGAATGTAGGTGTCACTTCATCATTTTATAAATCATAAACAAAAGCTCAGAAGTAGATAAATTAGGGGCTCCTTAGTGGTGCAGGGGGCAGCTGCATCCCATCCAGCTCCCTGCCAATGCGCCAGGGAAGGCAACGGGTGATGGCCCAGTACTTGGGCTCCTGCCACCCAGGCGCCACACCAGGACGGAGGTGCAGGCTCCTGGCTTTGGCCTGGCCCAGACTTAGCTTAAGCGGCTATTTGGTGAGTGAACCGTGGAGCGAAGACAAATCTTAAAAAAATAATAACTCAAAGTCTCATTGCTGATAAGCAGGAAGATTAGAACTCAGGTCTGGGGGCTGGCGCTGTGGTGCAGCCAAACTCCAACCTGCAGGGCAGGCATCCCACGTGGCCACTGGTTCGAGTCCCGCCTGCTCCACTTCCAATCCAGCTCCCTGCTAACGCACCTGGGAAGGCAGTGGAAGATGGCTAAAGTGCTTGGGCCCCTGCACCCACGTGGGCGGCCTGGAGGAAGCTCCTGGCTCCTGGTTTTGGCCAGGGCCCAGCCATGTGGGGAGTGAACCAGGGGATGGAAGATCTCTCTCTCTCTCTCTCCTCCTGTCTGTAACTCTGCCTTTCAAATAAATAAATAAAGCAAAGAAACCTCAGGTCTCGGGTTCCCATCTGTGACAAGTGACTTAGGACGAAGCCGACTCCTCACTACCCCTTCTCATTCGGCCCTAATTCGCGGGTGGCCGCCCCCGGACCACAAACCCCTTTGAACCGTCCAGGGCACTGCTGCCGCTACCGCCCCAACTGCGGGCGTCGCCCCGCTGCGGGCTCCGCCGCCAGCCCCTCACCTCATGCTCCAGCGCCGCTCGGAAATGGGTCGCGAGGGGCGGGGGGGACGGGGCTGGCCCTGATGACATCATCACTGTTCGCCGGGGACGGCGGTAGGCGTCATCAGATCCCGCCGACTCCCTCCGGTCTTCACTGCCCGGCTGAGGTACGGAAACCCGGAAGGGCCGGGCGCATGGCTCCGCCTCTAGCTGACCAGCGACGTGCGCGTCGGCCAGGGGTAGTGGCTCGCAGATGGAGTTGATAGTCGGCCCGACGGCGGCATGGAGGCGAGCCAGGGCAGCATCAACGCGGAGCGGGGCTGGTCCGTCTCTGCCCGGCAGCCTGAAGAGGCAGCGGCGGCGGAAGAGGCGAGCCCGTTGCTAAGCAACGTAAGTGGACGCCGCTGGGGCCGGGGCGCCGACGGCCGCCGGGCTCCTGCAGGTGCGAGCCTCGGCCCCATCGGCCGAGCTCTGAGGGTGCTGGCTCGGGGGAGAAACGTGCCCTGGGAAAGCTGCCGGGAAGGTGCAGGCTCGAGGGGGAGCGACGCAGCCGAGCGGACGCGGGGGTCCCCGGGATTTCTGTTGCCTCCCTGCCGCTCCTTAGCGCCTTCGTCGCCCTCGCAGCCTCCTCCACCCGCCTTGCGAGGTCTTTGCAAGAGTCCCACGGTTTTCCTTGTGGCGACCTAGTCATCGAGGGGCTGTGGTCGTGTTACCGCGGAGATGCTCCGCCGCGAAGGGGTGGAGGTGGCACCAGCCCCTTCCCCGACCCTGCAGACGGAGCAGTGCGCACTCCGCCTGTGAACTCGAGCTCCTGGACTGTAATGCTCTCCAGGACTTTGCACCGGCTGCTGTTTGGCGGGAGGCGGTTTTCGGGGATACCCTGCTAGTTACTATAGATTCTCACGGCCAGGTGTTCCTTGACCACTCCTGGCAGCGCTCTGAGTTCGTTCAGTTTGCGCAGAGAGAGTAGTTTTTGCAGTCCTGGGATTTGGGAAGCAACAGTTGAAGGCAGCAGACCCACGCTGACTCAGAGACTCTTCGGGAATCACATGAGCTGAGGCCACATCCCTGCCCTGCCCCCATCGGCGCCCTCCCCCAGTCCTACGACCTGGTCTGCTGCGCTTGCAGCCGCAGGTTAGCCCTGGCTTTTCCGGAAGCCGGCCTGGCCTCTGTGCTGGTGGAGATGGTGTCCGGGGAACTGCAGATTCCTGGAGCCGGGAAGGAAAGGAGAGGAGACCTAAGCAGCTGGTGCGCCCCACAAAGCCGGGAAGCTGAGACCTGCGCGTCGCCATCCCAGCCTTGCCCCGCTGTTTGTGTCTTACAGGAACTGCGTCGACCGCGAGCCCCTGGTGTTTCCTTTGGCTTCTCAGTGTTTAACTTGATGAACGCCATCATGGGAAGTGGCATTCTCGGCTTAGCTTATGTTATGGCGAACACCGGGATCCTTGGGTTTAGGTGCGTCGTTTTGTTTTTTTCATATCTTACCATCACCTTTTTTTCCCTTTTAAATATTTATTTATTTATTTGAGAGGCAGAGTTACAGATGGAGACAGGGAGAGACACAGAGAGGAAGGTCTTCCATTGGCTGGCTTACTCCCCAGTTGGCCGCAATGGCCAGAGCTGGGCCGATCCGAAGCCAGGAGCCAGGAGCTTCTTCTGGGTCTCCCATGTGGGTGCAGGGGCCCAAGCTCTTAGGCCATCTTCCACTGCTTTCCCTGGTGTATTAGCAGAGAGCTGGATGGGAAGTGGAGCAGCGAGGACTCCAGCCAGCCCGAGCACTACCAGTGGAGGCTTAACTTACTATGCTGCAGAGCTGGTCCTCACCTTTTTTTTTTTTTTATAGTACACTGAGAAGCAAAGAGGTAGCTTCCGCAAGCCGCTGTTATCCTAGCTCTAGTTAAATTATTTCTGGGGTTTTAGTGTTTTTCTTGCTACTCCTATCTTTTTGCTAATCCATAGCTTCTAGAGATAGATGCTAGTTTGTGTTTTTAAATATCCAAATGTGTGGCTTGTTTTTAAAAGTGTGAGCTTGGGGTCCGTGTTGTGGCACAGCAGGTTTAAGCCAACGCCTGCAGTACCGGCATACCATATGAGCGGTGGTTCAAGTCCTGGCTGCTCCACTTCCAATCCAGCTCTCTGCTATGGCCTGGGAAAGTAGTGAAGGATGGCCCAAGTGCTTGGGCCCCTGCACCCATATGGGAGAATTAGATGAAGCTCTTGGCTCCTGTCTTCAGCCTGGCCCAGCCCAGGCCGCTGTGGAGTGAACCATCGGACAGAAGATTCTCTCTCTCTTTCCTTCCGTCTCTCCCTTTCTCTCTGTAACTGCCTTTCAAATAAATATTTAAAAAAAAAAAAAGAGTGAATTTGATCCACACTCATTTATAACCTTAAGAAGTGGCTTATTGGGGTAGCTGTTGTGGTGTAGCAGGTTAAGCCACTGCTTAGGGAACCCAGATAGTATTAAAGTGCCTGGTTTGAGTCCTGGCTACTTTGCTTCAAATCCAGCTTCCTGCTGATATGCCTGGGAGGCAGGCAGCTGATGATGGCCCAAGTACTTGACTTCACGTTACCCACGTGGGAGACCTGGACAGAGTTCCTGGCTCCTGGCTTGGGCCTAGTCCAGCCTCACTGTTACAGACACGGGGGAGTGGACCAGCAGATAGAATATACCCCTGCCTCTCTGTACCTTTCAAGTAAATAAGTAAATCTTTAAAAAACAAAGATTTGCCAAAAATGAATAGTTTGTCAGCAGTGCAGATTGCTTCCAGGTAGCGACTTTGCGCATGAACTTTTCGTTCCTGGCCATCTCCTCCTCGCCCTCTGTTGTTAGGACGTTTGTTAACTCTGAGGCCAGGCTTGCGCTGTGAGACTGTTCCTTGGCATCTTTCAAGACAGAGTGGCAGGCTAGTTTGCCCCAAACAGAAGACATTCCTGTGCTCCCAGCATTTGTATCTTCATCTTGTGACTGTAAGGTGTTACAGTGGTTTGCTTTCAGGTGAATCTTCCCACTGAGCCTGGAATCCTTTAGAACTCGTCCTTATCCTTAGCGTCTGCAACTGTTGCCAATGGAACGGAACCATGGCGAATGGAACGGATACACGTTTGTTTTGTTTGTCAATACGAAGCAGACTTGTTTTACTACGAAATTTACAATATATACTAGAAAGTCTCATTTAGGTTTATTTCCTGCTTTTCTTCCAGTTTTCTTGATAAGCAAGTGAATCTGATCCTGTCGACAAACTGTCATTTAAAATTAAAAGTTTAAGCAAGACATAATCAGAGGACTTATTTTTTTGTTTCGTCTCCTTTGAAGAATAGTGTTGTATAAGTCAGGGCCTTCCACGCAGGTGCATAGCGCTGACCACGTACTCACTGAAGGATATCAGATGTTCCTGTTGTGGCTGATGTTGCTTTCTGGGGCCTCTGAGTTCCACGTAATGATGTGTGAACTTTCATCTCTCGGTTTGGCTACTTAGTAATCAGTAGTAATAGTGGACCACAATACAGAATTTCTTCAACTGCTGGGACAGTGCATTGGGAAGAGCTGTAGAGCGGGAAGCTTGTCCTGCCAGTGTGTTCCTGCAAGAAGTAGGAGATTTTGCACGTTTGTGTATTTGTTTCACACTGTTGGTGGAAGGACATCAGTTGTTACCTTGTGGGCACATTTTCGGGGTGTGTAAGCTGCATTGTTTAGAGATTTTGTGAGTAGATGCTAGAAAATACAGCCTTACTATTACAGGTGAAGGTATGGGGAGACGGTCCACTTCCCTGGAATGGAGTGGGGGAGGGGAAAAGAGAAGATACTGAGATTTCATCATTAAAACTTCTGTCTAGACTTAGAATAGGAAGAAATAGGCACAGCAAGAGTACAGAATGGGGGTCGGCGCTGTGGCATAGTGGATAAAGCCGCCGCCTGCAGTGCCAGCATCCCATATGGGCACTGGTTCAAGTCCCGGCTGCTCCACTTCCAATCCAGCTCTCTGGTTTGGCCTGGGAAAGCAGTGGAAGGTGGCCCAAGTCCTTGGGCCGTTGCACCCATGTGAGACCTGAAGGAAGCTGCTGGCTCCTGGCTTCTGATCGGTGCAGCTCCAGCCGTTGTGGCTATCTGGAGAGTGAACCAGCAGATGGAAGACTCTCTCTGTCTCTCTCTGTGCATCTCTGACTTTCAAATGAATAAATAAATCTTAAAAAAAAGAGTATAGAATGGCTAAAATTGTAGATTGTAGAGTGACTGAACCAGCAATCAGCAACAGTGGAAAATGAGGACATTTATATTTTTAAATAAAGTTTGTTTCTTTACAGTTTCTTTTTTGATGTTGAAAGGAGTCCTTTCCCATTTAAATAAAATTTGGTAAATATAGAAAAGTGTACTTTTTTTTTGACAGGCAAAGTTAAACAGAGAGAGACAGAGAGAAAGGTCTTCCTTCCGTTGGTTCACCCCCTAAATGGCCACCACGGCCGGCGCGCTGTGCCGATCCAAAGCCAGGAGCCAGGTGCTTCCTCCCGGTCTCCCATGTGGGTGCAGGGCCCAAGCACTTGGGCCATCCTCCACTGCCTTCCCCGGCCACAGCAGAGAGCTGGACTGGAAGAGGGACAACCGAGACAGAATCCGGCGCCCCGACCGGGACTAGAACCCGGTGTGCCGGCGCCGCAGGCAGAGGATTAGCCTAGTGAGCCGCGGCACCGGCCGGAAAAGTGTATTCTTAAATCAGAGACAGTCCCTGTTAATATTTGAATGTGAGGAAATTTGTTTTTGTAATGAGATACCATAAAAAAGAAAAACTTTCTGGGGAGAGGTTGATTCTCTGTTCTTTCAAACTTCAGTTTCCTGCTGCTGGTGGTCGCTGTCCTGGCTTCTTACTCCGTGCACCTCCTGCTCAGCATGTGTATCCATACAGGTGAGTGGAAGTGTCGCACCTGTCTGATGAAGCAGCCCCTTGAGTGTGTTTACTAGGGAACTACCGGTCTCAACTCTGACTTCCCTGAGGCTCCGTTATCATTAGGTGGGTGGTTGAAATGGAGACTGAGAAGGCCTGTGTAGACTCAGTCCCCTGGAGGAGTATCCAGGACGGGATGGGAGGAGAAACTGGAGGCTTCTCTGCCTCCCTTCGCAGCACTCAACAGAGTTTCCTGGGTTTGCACGGATCAGGGGAGGCATCTAGCA